CTAGCCTGCTGTTTAAACTCTTTGTTGTGTTGTTTATTTTGTTGAATGAATTCTTCAGCTTGGCAAACTCTTCTACATTCTTTTTCAGGGTACTGATTTCCTTGTACATTTCTTCTTTCAGGTCCTCATTGATTTCCTTCTACACTTCTTCTTTCAGATCCTGTATACTTTTCCTCGTTTCATCATGTCATCTAGCTGAATTTTCTTGTATCTCATTTAGTTTCCTTAGAATTATCACTAGAAATTCCTTGTCAGACATTTCAAGGGCTTCTTGTTCTGTAGGATCTAGATCTTGAGAGTCATTACCCTTTGGTGGTGTACTTTCTTCATTTTTCATATTTCTGGCATCTTTCCTTTGATGTTTAGTCATTGTGGCAGGGGGTTTCACAGTCCACATGTTTGACACTAGTGTCTGGCTAGACTGCTGCTGGGGCTGCCAATTTGGTATGGCTGCCTCAGTGTCCACTCGGTCGTCCACTGGCACCTCAGGTGCATGTTCACCTTGTGTCTTGGGACTCTGCCAGGAGGTGTTTCTCTGGTCAGCGCACACCTCTCTGATTGGCATGAACTCAGCCGGGCTGGGGATGGAGTTGGGCAGCAGTGGCGAGGCCTACCTGCTGGGTCGTGCACTGTCCCAAAGCAATTTATAATTTAACTCCAGAAATAAGTACATAAAAAGCATTTTGAAAATAAATATCCTTTCTCTGGTTGGTCAACTACACCATTCTTGGCTATCTAGAAAATCCAAATGAAAACAATTCATTCCCCCAATTCAGTAATTATGTAACATCACTTCATCACCTCAATTGAGTTTAGCTGCAGAAATAGGGAATATAGACATTTATGTGTATATCACTTTTGAAATTAAATGTGTCAGTTCAGTATATGATCATCTTGTCTGATTACAAATCACTTGCATTTTGCAACAAATTTAAATCAGAAACATAGTATTTCATACAAATCATACTTAATCTTCTATTTTGATTTAATTTGAGTTAGTAGAAAATAAAACACTTGGTACTTTGCATGAAAATCATGGCAGCATTAACTCATTTTTAAATCTATAAGAAGATTTTTAATCAAAAGATGTATACACTTTACTGATAATATTCACATCAAAAAATGCCAGGGTGGGGCCGGCCTGGTGGCACACTGCTACAGTGCACCGCTTGGGAGCGCAGCGGCGCTNAGGGTTTGGATCCCACATACAGACTGGTTCCCGCTCACTGGCTGAGCGAGGTGCGGGTGCATCACCGAGGGTTGTGATCCCGTTGCCGGTCCCGGTCCGATACGGGCGTGACACTGAGGGTTGCGATCCGTTGCCGGACACGAAAAAAGACAAAANAAAACAATTACAGGATCAGGACAAATTTCTTAACTTCTCTGTTCCTAGTTTATTCTTCTGGATATCCATTTAAGGCCTTTATAATTTTCTGAGCATCTTTTTAGAAATTATATGGGGCAATGCAACATGAAGGTGAAATATATGCTTACTTTTTATTCTTATTGTATCTGTCATTTTTATCATTGTATATCTGATACATATTTCTAGGGGAAAGGAAACCTACCTTTTTAAGTTGCTTTGACTATCTCAGCACTCTATACACAAAGATACTTAATGCCTAATTTTTTAACAGATTGATTTTCCCATTATTAGACATTTTTTATTCATGATATCTTAGTATTTTATAATAGAGGGACTTACTAAAATCATGTCATTATACAAAGCTTGTCACTAAACTTCACTAAACCCAAGTGGGCTTAGTTTTTTAAGGCATTATTACAGATAAAAAAAAAAAAAAGAAAGAGATATGTGTTCATAATTCACATTTAAGTATAAATACTTTCTCACTAATGCAGATGCAATCTGTATAAGTCAGTTTTATTATCTCTGAAGGGTCATTATGTAATTTGAAGTCCGGTTTAAATGAGAGTGCAACACTGAAAAATGTAATACCTTTTTGAAAATTGCTTGGTGAAACCCAAAGAATGTTAAAATATCCTCGATAATTATAGCATTACTTTGAAAAACATTATTTCCTCTAAATGATGATGTGAACATCATTTTATCATTGTTATGGGATAATTTATGATTACCCAAAAGGAAAAAAAAAAAAAAAAGATTGGTGATTGTCAAGTGCTTTCATTACCTTTCATCTCTTTATGACTTTGAATATTAAAAATGTGGACCTTTTGTGTTATACCTACCTTTCACTAATGACAGAATCATTATGAAATGCATTAAATTCATTGCATTTACTATAAATAATCTCCAGAAAATTGCTACCATATTATCTTCTAATAGTTAATGAAATCACATAAATTTCCTTCTACAAAATTCAATAGTTTATAGTATAATCTAGCTTCTCCTTCATAGATGTTACATTTTACTATTTCTTTATTGTTCTCTTTTACTGAAGATTTAGATTTCTGAATTTCATAATGTTGTTTATCAGAACAATGTACTGAGCTAGCCTGCCTAAGGAATATCAAATCATATCCCAAAATACAGTATCATTTTTCCCTATCACAGGTGCAGGCAGCATCTGTTCCAGGCAAGATTCTTATTTACTGATAACGGTCAGGAATCATTATTCAGAATATTTGCTGGCTGTCATAAAAAATAACATATAATTCATGCTTATTTTTAATGTTTTACTTCCATCATCATACCTCCAGCAAAAACTGTATTTTGAGTAAAAATCCTATGCCAAGTCATTCATTTAATGCTCTTGCTGATGCTTGATAAACTGTATACCACTGAGTTGATTTCCAGCCATTGCTATAGATTCCAACTACATTTCTTTAGTCAACTCCATGTATCCTCCAAGTGTGAGACAGAAGGATGTTGGGAGATTTAGATTGCTTATTTAACAAAATAAGTTAGTACAATAAAATAATTGATATTTTTTATAGAATTTCGGACCTGGAACGGATATTGCAGTTGGATTAGCTTACCTAAATGTCCTGGAATATCAGGCACCTGACTTTTTATTTATGATATTCTTTTTGTCCACTACCCTTTCCTCATCTCCCAAAGTTTAAATGTACTCGTTCTGAAGACAAATTCAATTGCTACCACCTTAATAAGGTCTCCTTGATGTCCAAAACCAGAGATCATATTCTCAACTCACAGTATTTTATGTAGGCCTTTCTATAACATCTTCTCCTTCTATCTAACATGATAATTTTATAAAATATATGTAGTAATATTATATATATACATTACTTTCCCTCCGATAAACTGTAACATTTCCCTTTCTTCTCGCCTGTGTGCGCACACAAAAGAATGCCACTACATAGTGAAGCTTAGTGGAAAACACATAGACTTCATAATTAGTTCAATATAGATTTGATTATAAACTCAGCCACTTATTTTTTTTAAGTTTTCTGTGTTTCAATTTCTTCATATAAACATAGAATAATTGTGCTGCTTTCTTTTTGTTATTTTTGAAAAGTATTCTAGACTTACAATATGCTTTTATAAGATCAAGAGTTTACTGAGTCCTCCTGTCTTGTATTCTGCCTTGTGATTTAAAGTGAAAATGCAATACAATTAAACCCAAAGAGTATATTGATATTTTACATTAAACAAGTATAACCTATAACTATTTCTCATGCAATGTTTTGTTTGCATCAAATATTTCATGAAATATAAAAGTATAATACACCATTTTAATATCAATTTATAATGTGGTAAGATTATTATTATCTTAATTTACATTTTTTGTTTGTTTGTTTGTTTGTTGTGGTGGCTGGCCAGTATGGGGATCCGAATCCTTGACATTGGTGTTACAATACCGTTCTGTAACCAACTGAGGTAACTGGCCAGAATTTTACATAGATTTTTAAGAACAATAGATTTTAGTAACTTTCTCAATATTAAACAACTGGCAGAGTCATGATTCAAAAAATATCTTTTTATACCAAGTACACTTCCTACTTCCTGTCTTTTTGGAAAGATATAAGAGGTTACTTCAGAAAATTTGTGGAAAAATAGAATTAAAAGATAACACAAATGTAACTTTGTAAATTACTTTTTGTAGACCCTTTCTGTGTATGTATGTGTATCTTTATCTATATCTATCTATATGTATCTTTCTTACTGATTTTAGGTGCTGAATTGAATTGAATCTTGTTTAACTTTGCTTCTTTGGTGATTTTCAAATACCAAATAGTTAATTTACTTTTTTCCCCTCTCTCTCTTGCCCACAGCTTCTAAATCTTTTCTTCTGAGACATTTCTTAGTCATTTGTCTTTAAATAACTTTTAAAATATAATCTAACAGGTAATTGCTGCTGAGTCATTTTTTTATAACTCTGCTTTGTAAAATACAAGTAGTCAATTTTAAGACAAATTTAAGCAATTCATATATATATAAATTATTTAAACGTGCATTAACATAAGTAAAATTTTTCATTCCAATGCTATCTATTCCTCTTCAAATATACGCAAACTCCATCTATTAATCCACTTTGAATGGATTTTAACTTCCCAATGAAGTTAAAAATTGTCACTACGTAATAATTAAATTATTTTTGACATATGGTAACAATTGGCAAAATGCTGTTCCTACTCTAAAATAACCTTGAGAGCGGTATTGTGAAACTACTGTCTTAAACTAGAATCAATAAGAACTGACGATATCCAAGGTTGTCAAATATTTCCAACTGTTCATTTTAGAACCACTAAGTTGGCAAAATGCTGTTCCTACTCTAAAATAACCTTGAGAGCGGTATTGTGAAACTACTGTCTTAAACTAGAATCGATAAGAACTGACGATATCCAAGGTTGTCAAATATTTCCAACTGTTCATTTTAGAACCACTAAATCCCTTAGCTTTCACTTACGTTTCAGTATAGCCCAAAACTTAAATTCTCTCAATTACATCACTTCTCTTAAGAACCAGCTTGTACTCCGAGATCAAGAAAACATACCATGTCATGTAAAGCAGCAGGAAAAAGAACAAAGAGAAATTAAAGAATGAATCTTGTACTCACGAAATGCTCTATAAAATTCTTCAAGAGCCAGATGCTTGTCAGAATTAAAATCATCGTATTTCAGCAGATCATACAAAGTACAATCAGAAAGATCCTTGCCAAGTTCTTCCTGTTTTATCACCTAACAAGAAAATTACAACCATACCTTTATATCTGTGATTAACATTTCTATACTATAATTAATTACATGTAACAATCACGAAATGAATCATTTTAAGTGTAAAGTGGGATAAAGAACTCAATTTATGAAAAAATCCAGGTTTTCAGTTACTGAACAATTATTTTTAATCATTTCAAAGGTATAGACTTACAAGGTTGTCAGGATTTAGTCCAACCTTTATAATACATAATCTCACAGTAGGACACAGCATATCTGAACATTAAAAGAAAACTTTGTATTTCATTCATTACTTTTGTCCATTTATACTGACTCAAGGAAATACCTCCACATGAAAATTGCCTCCTGTGTCTCAGTGACCTGTGTTAAAATAAAATAGTGCTCTTTCCACAAAAATAGTGAGGCAGTTTGTTTCAACTTTCTTCCTCACAGTACTTGTGAAAAATAAAGTTAATTTTTTTCTCCTCTGCCTACGCTCTCCTCAGCTGGAAGTTAAGTCATTTGGGATAGTGCATGAACTCCCTTGGTCACAAAAGAGCTATTAAGCAAATGACTGCTTCCAAGAGCCAGATAGAATTAACGCACCGATTGATGATGAAACTCTATCCAAGCGTAGTTCAACAAAATCATCAAACTGTTTTTCTACTCTCTCAGTCCAATAGAAGCTGCAGCTTTTTTATACTCTACTGTTTTTGACTACTGCTTGTCATACAGAGCTCCCCAAGATTTTTCAGACATCCCTATTCATTGTGGGCAGCTACACAGCTGTGTGTCCATGATATTTCATATTCTCCCACATGAAAGGGCAGTAATTCATATTTCTTGAAGCTGTGCATCACAGTGTTTTGTCGTTGTTGAGTTTATTTTAAGGTGGTACAGTGTAATCAGAAAACAACAGGCTTTGAAGTCAGCCAGTTCTGGGTTAAGGTTCTGCCATGCCACGTAATGGCTTTATAATTTCTGGTAAATTATTTAACCTTTTTTTCAGTTAGAAAACGAATGTGAAGGTCATACAGAGCTCCCCAAGATTTTTCAGACATCCCTATTCATTGTGGGCAGCTGCACAGCTGTGTGTCCATGATATTTCATATTCTCCCACATGAAAGGGCAGTAATTCATATTTCTTGAAGCTGTGCATCACAGTGTTTTGTCGTTGTTGAGTTTATTTTAAGGTGGTACAGTGTAATCAGAAAACAACAGGCTTTGAAGTCAGCCAGTTCTGGGTTAAGGTTCTGCCATGCCACGTTATGGCTTTATAATTTCTGGTAAATTATTTAACCTTTTTTTCAGTTAGAAAACGAATGTGAAGATTACCACATGTGCATGCACGAACACACAAACACAAGACAACATATAGTATACTCTCACAAGTGATCATTCAAAATTAAAAATAATGACTACATTTGTGCTGCTTCTTCACATAATTCACTGCAGACCTCCTGATATCAGCTTGTGCATGTCACGGTTGCACATTCACAATGGATTATGGTTTCTTTTGGTAGAGCAGAGTGTTTCAGACTTGTTTTTTTACATCAATGGTAGATTGGTGATGTTATTGCTAAAGATTTTCTGATGCTTTTGAGCCATTTTTAAGCATTTTTGCAACACTCTTACATTGAAAGTTCAGTTACATCTCAGTGTGGATGGGCTGTTGAGACAACTCTTAGGATGGGGTCTAACACATGGGTCACTAGGGCCACCAGCTCCTTCTCTAACCACCAGTGATAACATATGCACTGCTTAATAGAACTTCTGCAATAGAATGGATTTCTCTAACCTTGTATATGGTATTAAAATTTTGTTGGTTAAGTTGATATTTTCCATCTTAGTGGGGGAAAAAAGCAAAAGTTTACCTGTTTTAACTGATCTATATTAAAAGATACTGTAGATGGAAAGTATTAAGCCTTGTATTTTTGCACAGTCCAGCTGGAGGGATTAACAAAACTACCTAATGCTGAAGGCATCTCTCCCATAAACCTAATGGGAAAACAAAATACTGCTTTTCTACTTAGAAAGCAACAGAGCTTGCAGTCATTCTCCATCTGTTATTGGTTAGATCATGGATAATGACTTTTGGCTTCTTCTGGGGTTGGGGGTTGGGAGTAAGGGCAGCGTACTTAATCTTACCTCAGTATGCTCTTTCTAAACATCTGCAATGTTAGCACTGTGGTAATATTTAGGATGCAGTGACACCAGGGCTTTTCAGGCATTTTGATGATATTTTTAGTGATTTTTATTTTCATGGTAATTTCTAAGTAGACAGAGATGGAGTAGAAAGTTGAAAGAAAAAAATTTGTCATTTTTTGCCTCCTATTTCTTTCTGTACTAGTATTTTACTCAAATTAAATTTGTGTTAGATCAAGAAAATGGACTTCTGCTTTTTTCCTGATTACTGTCTCTTGCATAAGACTAGCTTGACCTTGATTTAATCTTGATCTTCATTTGATCTTGATCTTTACTTGATCATGATTATACAACTTAAGCTGAGCATACTGTTTTAATGAGTACGCCCTAGAGAAGCTCATGGTTCTAGGATGATAAGCCTTTTTTTTTTTTTTTTTAGAGCCCTTCTCATCTATACTGAAGCACATCCATACATACATAGGACAAGGTGACTAATTCTCTCATTTGTCATTATTTCAAATACATATTTTGGTCATTTATCCCATTTTGGGTCAATGAAATAGCCCGTTTAAAACATTAGTTTTAGTAATTATTTCTCTCCTTTAGGTTTTCTGGTAAGAAGCTTTAGTACATCCTGGTGTGTTCCTAATGAGGAAAGTATTTTCCTATACTTTTCTATCTTTCCTTTTTTTCTTAATGGATTTATTGAGATAATATTGATATACAAAAAGATGCACATATTTAATGTATACAGTTTGATGATTTTGTATGACCTTTCAACTGGCATGGAAAAATTGCTTTAGATAGCCAGAGTTTTGATAGCCTTAAGGTTATGAGTGTTTGACTGCTGGGAATAAAGTATAATAGAGTATATAAACCACACTTTGGCACTAGGGATCCAAACTAGTAAGACTTTGTTATCTCCCTGCACTTCCTTCATTTACTGTCTAGCACTGATTCCCTAAACTTCTCACTCTAGGCTTCTGAAAATGCATGTGTTACTTCCAGACTAGCTCTTCATGAAGGGCCAGACTCACTGAATATATTGTCATTTAAATATCCAGTGATGATACCTCAATCAAGGAGGCCAATCAAATTTCATTGTTATCTATTGTAAAATAGTAAAAATGTTTCCCAAACTTGCCAATCTTTTGGTGAACTCTTTAAGGCTAAAAAAACCCCATTTTTACACTTTTTTTACTGATCAGAGGTCTAATTATATGAATTTTGGGTTCCATAGAGGTTAAGTTTAGTGTGACAAGGCACTGGGGAGCTCAGACACACTGCATCCCAGAGATATATTTAGCTTCAATGTAATAGAACTGTCATACTGATCAGAGGTCTAATTATATGAATTTTGGGTTCCATAGAGGTTAAGTTTAGTGTGACAAGGCATTGGGGAGCTCAGACACACTGCATCCCAGAGATATATTTAGCTTCAATGTAATAGAACTGTCAAAGTTACATAAGAATGGTAATAACTCAGAGATCATTTAATGTTTTGGTACTGTATTCTTATTTGTTCCAAAATAAACAATAAAAACAAATGCCCCTCTCCCAAATAAACTATTCTACTTCACTTCTTTGTTCAATCACCCATTCAATAAATCATTTGTGACTGCCTACTACTTGTCAGACACTATCCTAGGCTCTGAAAACTCAGCAGACAACAAGGTAGCAAAAAATCCCTCCCATGTGGAATTTATATCCCAGTGAAGGGAAAATAAAAATATATAAATAAAGTATATATTATGACAGATGATGATAACTGATATAAAGGTAAATTAAAATGGAGAGAGAAATAGAATGAGTCAGAGGTCAGGTAGAAAAATTTTCTCCTGGCTATAAAGATGAATGAATGTTAGATTTCTGGGATAAGGGATGATTTAGAAATCCAAGAATTATTATGCTGACTCTCACAAAGAGATAAAAGATATGATATTGAGTTTGATGATGTCAACATAGACCATGATGAGGAGACTGTGCTGTGCGTGTGGGAGGAGAGGACAGGGGAGTGGGATCTTCCAGTTCTGTTCCCTTTACTTTACTCTCCGTGGAGATAGGATCTCTTGGAGAGACAGACTACTAATATATTCAAGTCGTTTAAATTCTTCCCCATCCCTTTACAAACTCTTTTTTTCCCAAACTAGTCATGATCACATCACAATCATAATGGTTTTGGTAGAGTTAGAACTCAGTGCTCCTCTATTTTAAGAAATGTCCATTAGAGTCATTTAGTTTTGGGTAGGCAGATATGCTAATTTCTTTATTTGGCAAATGTGTAGATTATGTCAGAGCCTATGGGTCAGAAAATAAATATACACCCTTGGGTAGGAATTCACATCTCCAGGTATTACACATTTGCTTCTCTCACAATCCCAGTACAGATTGGCTCCTCTGCTATGTAACCTGAACAGCTTCTTGTCTCTCTTCCTCCCTTCCTCTTTCTTTTCCATTCTTTGCAACCTACAGGTGTGAAGAACCATGCTAAGTAATGCAGGGAAGTTAGTACATTTACATGACACAGTCTCAGCTCTCATGGAGGTTTTATTCTGAGAGGATGAGTGAAAACATGCAAACAAATAATTAAGCAAGATAATTCCACATTATCAACAGTACTCAAAAAGTAAACAATCTGAAAAGACAGACGGTAAATAAATAACATTATGAGATTTAATTGTTTAGTCATGCATAACTGATGCTATCTTGCAAGAGCAATATTTTTTTTAAAAAGGATTAAATAACAAGTATTGAATCTTCTGCATTTTCTTTTAGGTTTTCTAACATGCCTAAATTAAAACTTCAAAAAATCAACAGAGCCAGTGTTAATTATTTTGAAAGACCAGCTGAGGAAATGTTATTATTTTTATTAAACCACT